GTTTTCAGAGACGGGGGAAAATCTGAAAATTTGTCTAGCGCGAATTCACTTAAGTATACTTTTTTTAGCGTGTTTTAAAAAACGATGCTTGTTAATGAGAGATAAGGTTTTCAAAGACGGGTGAAAATTTGAAAATTTGTCGAGCGCGAATTCACTTAAGTGGCCACTTTTTAGCGTGTTTTAAAAGAAAACGTTTAAAAAAAAAAATTGTCATCTTTACATTTAATAGACGACGGTTTTTATAAAAAGCGTCATCTTTACATATAATTATAATAGACGACGGTTTTATAAAAAGCGTCATCTTTACGTATAATAGACGATGGCTTTATAAAAGCGTCATCCTTACATATAATAGACGACGGTTTTTTTATTATAAAAAGCGTTATCTTTACTTCATAATAGATGACCATTTTTTAAACAACCCATCATCTTTACATATAATAGACGACACTAGTGGATACCACAAAATCTTATGTTATATTTCACGAAAGTATAAATAAACTATTAATTGTTAGTGAATATATTGTTTTGATGGAATACGCATTTTAAGAAACTAGTTTCAATGATCCAACCGTCAAACTTGTTTGTTTATACTTTGAGATCATATGCGCCAAAAATTGAAAAAAATAAACATTCAGAGATCAAGTAACGGGACAAAAAATTGCGACGATTATAAATGAAAAATTATGATTTAACGGTTATTTTAACAAACCATCATCTTTACATATAATAGACGACACTAGTGGATACCACAAAATCTTATGTTATATTTAACGAAAGTATAAATAAACTCTTAATTGTTAGTGAATATATTGTTTTGATGGCATACGCATTCTAAGAAACTAGTTTCAACGATCCAACTGTCAAACTTGTTTGTTTATACTTCGAGATCATATATACCAAAAATCGGAAAAAATAAACATTCAGATATCAAGCAACGGGACAAAAAATTTCAACGGTTATAAATGAAAAATCATGATTTAACGGTTATTTTAACAAACCATCATCTTTACATATAATAGACGACCTTTTTTTTTATAATAAGAAAACGTCATTTTTACATATAATAGACGACCTTTTTTCATAAAAAGCGTCATCTTTATATATAATAGACGACCATTTAAAAAAAAAAACCGTCAACTTTACTTCATAATAGACGGCAATTTTTTATAAAAGCGTCATCTTTAAATATAATAGACGACCCTTTTTTATAAAAAGTGTCATTTTTACATATAATAGGCGACATTTTTTTTTTAAAAAAGCGTCATCTTTATATATAATAGACGACCATTTTAAAAAAAAAACCGTAATCTTTACTTCATAATAGACGACGGTTTTATAAAAGCGTCATCTTTACATATAATAGAAGACGAATTTTATAAAAAGCGTCATCTTAACATATAATAGACGACGGTTTGTATAAAAATCGTCATCTTTACATATAATAGACGGCAGTTTTTATAAAAAGGGTCATCTTTACATATAATAGAAGACAATTTTATAAAAAACGTCATCTTTACATATAATAGATGACGGTTTGTATAAAAATCGTCATCTTTACATATAATAGGCGACAGTTTTTTTTTATAAAAAGCATCATCTTTGCATATAATAGAAGACGATTTTATAAAAAGCGTCATCTTTACATATAATAGATGACGGTTTGTATAAAAATCGTCAGCTTAACATATAATAGATGACCTATTTGTAAAAAAAATGGTCATCTTTACTTCATAATAGACGACTTTTTAAAAAAAAAATCATCATCTTTACATAAAATAAACGACCATTTTTTAAACAAACCATCATCTTTACATATAATAGACGACCATTTTTTTTTAAAAGTCATCTTTACTTCATAATAGACGACCCTTTTTTAAAAAAAAGGGTCATCTTTACATATAATAGACGACAGTTTTTTCAAAACAACCATGTCTTTACCAAAAAAAGGACACTTGATTTTTAACAGGCGACGCTTGTCATACCTGCTGTCGTTGTTTTTTGGTTAGATTTTAACTCTGAAGAAAACCTTTTTAAGAAGACGACGCTTTTTTATTTGTGTGCGTCGTTATAAAAAAATATTTAACAGTACCTCTGTTTTTTAGTTGTTTAAGTCACTTATCCACGTCGGTTTTTTGTTACTGTCGTCTTTTTAAATACAACGACGGTTTTTTCTTCTACCATCGTCTTTTTTTGGTGGTCTTTTTCACTTTTTGTAGTAATGTATCATAATTCATATAAATAAAACCAGCAACTCATAATGAACTTAAGTAAAGCTACAATGAGGTGACATATCGAAATAAGAAGAAATAAAAAAATTCTAAAATGGTTCTCATAAAAAAAAAAAAATTTAAAAGTCTAAAATTGTAACTTTAGATTTATAAAAGTAAAAAAAAAAAAAAATGCAATTGTGAAATTCATAAGCATGTCATAGTCAAATAGAATAAACTCAATTAAAAAATAACATGTCAAATCATATACCAATTGCCCAATAGGAAGCAATTGCATTTGCATTAAATATTAAATATTAAGCAATTGCAATTCCAATTGCCCAATAGGAAAGGGCATAATTACACAACCCTTAACATGTCAAATCATATACCAATTTTTTATAAAATCTGGGCGCATCAGTACACCTGGTGCCCTATTTACGTTGCTGCCTAGAAACTGTGTTCGGAGGTTGGAAATAGAAACATCTAGATAATGTGTTACACATGTCCGCTAATCAGAGGCAAACACAAAGGAGAAAATCAAATCAAACCACAGATGCATAGGCGTAGGGCTTAGGGATATCCCTACATTAACTCGCAGAACACCTTCACAAGTAGCCTTAACTCATACGTCATCAAAAAGTGAGACGACGACGGAAGTGAGCATCATTGACTTGTTGCACAGGTATGTAGGTCATTCTTGCCTCCTGCACAAATGGATGATTTAAGAGCTCGATAGCAGTGGGACGATCATGTGGATTAACTTGCAAGCATTTCTGTATGAAATCTCGTGGATGCCTCGGGAGAGAATCAGGAATCTCAGGGGGTTTTCCAAGAAGGATGTTAAATAACGCACGGTTCTGTCAAGGAGAGGATGCATCAGTCAGGTCTATTAGATCTATCATCATCATCATCTTTTTGAACCATAAATAATACAAATTTACTGAAATAAAACATGGTACGGACCCCTTCTGGCTTATCGTATGGAAACTTCCCGGTTAACATCTCCAACACAGTGCAACCAAGGCTCCATATATCAGCTGCAATCCCATAACCTTGGTTTGTTGTCTTAAGAACCTGCATAAGCATAAATTCTGAAAAATTCAGACACGACAACAAACTCCATGATTTTAAAATTTTAAAGTCTAGGCATGATCATAAATAAAGAACATCACTAGATCCTTTACCTCTAATACAAAAAAAATGATATTCAATCTAAGAGCCCACAAATCATCTTAGACAATTGTGGAGTAGTCCGCAAATATTGTAGAAAATTCCTAGAAGACTTGATAAGAGCTCATATCATCGTAGACGGTAACAGAATACATATTATATCACTACTAGAAAAAAGGGTAAAAGCCACAGTTTTTGTAGCCACAGCATGCAAACAGTGGCTATCTATTACTATAAGAATTCTGTTAGACATATAGATGTCTATCTCATTAAAGTGTGGTCTTATAATCATCAAAGGATTCTAAGACTAAGGACTTCTTAGGAGTTTCTTGATGGGCAAGACTCTTAGGTAGATGCATATAAATACAAGTTGCCCCTGCTCAACCGATCAAGCCAACCAACACAAAAGAATTCACCTCATCTAGAATGAGTGTATAAAGGGTCGGATTGAGGAGAAGAGCTCTTGTATATGTTCTTGATAAAATTAACAACAGAAGAACTTTGAGAGAGAGAGAGAGAGAGAGAGAGAGAGAGAGTTATAACCTTAATTTTCATTATTTGTGGGTGATTGGTTCACTTCTGTCTTAGGGAGCTTAGGAGTAAGTAGGATAACATTATTTTTCAGGTTGGGTGGACTAATATTTGCCAGGATGTGTTTTTCTTTTCATAATCTTGCACTCAAAGTTATTTAATATTTGTGTTTCATTAGTGTTTGAAGCAACCATAAAATCAATCGGTGTCAAAAGGAGGAACTTTTGAGAACTGACACTACGCAAATATATAATAAGAAAACCTCAGGAGCCATCCAGTATGGAGTTCCACGGCAAGAATGATTGTTGTTCCCTTCGGTTATCTGGGGAGAAAAATTCACTATCATGCATTCTGGAAATTACTGAAGGCAACAAACAGAAAAGGTTTGGAGCAATGAAAGACAAACCTTTGCCAATCCAAAATCAGCAAGCTTCACAGATCCATTTGCATCCACCAAAATATTTGCGCATTTAATGTCCCTTATTACAAAAAACGAAGAGATTTGAGAATGGGGTTAGACAGATATGGACATTGTTAACCCACAGCCACTCTTCTTTTGTTTCTCCTTTTTTAGGATGACTCTTTACATGATATTCCAAGTAACAAATGCTCAAAGGGAAATACAGAATCTTCTAATAATCTAACATCATTAACCATAGCTATACATCATGTCACATGAAGTACCTGTGAATCACATTATGGTCATGAAGATACTTCAAACCTTGCAGGATCTGTCTTGTGTATTTAGAGACAGTAGAATCTGAGAGACTTTCTCCTAAGCCATGTAATGTCGAATAGAGTTTATATATGCTTCCCTGGGTTACAAGCTCCAGGAAGATATAAATTTTTGATTCGTCCTGCAAAAATTATTTAGACAATGTATATAAACAGCAAAATGGTGCACACAAACAAGTAGATCTGAGACAAGTACAGGGGCTATGGAGATCCAATGCCTAATAACCTAATGTACGGTATGAGAAAATTTATGTTCAACAGGAAACCATAGTGAAGCATCAGAAAAAGCAACAAGAGAATGAATCCTAAGTTAATAGTCCAAGTGTTTCACAAGCCAATATACTGACTAGCATTTCATACTAAATACTTTTGGATACAAGAGAAATAGATCAAATATACTACGGTCAGCTGCTTCAACATCTTTCAGGTAAATTGTGACAAGAAGTCAACGATTGATATTGCTCATAATCCAGCTCAACAAAACTTGTTGAGGTGGATAGACATTTCATCAAAGAAAAATTTAAGAACAAGATCATCTGCCGATCCTTTGTAAAGTCAGAAGATCAGTTAGCAGATGTCTTGACAGAGGATGTCTCCAGAGTGTTTCATGACTTACTTACCAAGTTGGGCATTAGTGACGTGTATACACCAACTTGAGGAGGAGTGTTGACGTGAATTAACTAACAAATCAAGGAAATTTATTTCCTAAGTTAATTCGGTGATTTATTTACTTATTTCAATATAGTCGACAATCCTTGTATAATTAGGGGATATTATCCTATTTAATTCATGTATCTAATTCCTTGTAAACTCCTATATATTTCTCCTTATTGAGAAGAATACCATCATAAAAAAGTATTCAAACCATAGTCATATTTTAGCACACCTAGTTGTTGCTAATGCGGGGAGTGTTAGGTTGACGCAGTGTAGGTTGTCACGAGTGAGAATTAATATTGTTTATACCAAAATGAACAGCCAATGAAAAGCTGACACATAGACGAAATGGGTTATGGTAGCCTTCGGCACCTACCTTCGGCACCCAGGTTACCGATCCAACAATTAAGGCAACCTCCTTCTCTAGGACACGTGGCAAGCTCACAAATGATGTCCACAGTCCCACATCGAAAATCTACACATTATGCATACCTCCCAAGGTCTATAAAGGAAGCACAATTCCCCAGAATGGAGGTAATCAGAACTTACGGCATACTGCCTATTGATATGTAGTTCAATCTTACTAAATCCGTACTTACCTAAGCATCGGAGAGCCTTCGGCTGGTACCACACTGGTGCCTTAGGTCTTACCGAGCGTTTGCTATCTTGCAGATTGCACGCCCTACCGAGGCCCAGAGCATACCGAAGGCCCAACATCACTAAGTTGCGCGGGAAAGTGCCGAACCATTTTTCTGCGTCAACAGTTTGGCGCCTTCTGTGGGAAGCGATAAGAATCGACCTACAATTCCTAAAAAACACATGGGAACCACTTCAGTACCAATGTTCTTATCGGAGGATGGGCTATCGTTTGGCAGGCCAAGCGGAGCAAGCCCTGCGCTGCCCCCCTAGCACTCCCTTCGGTAATCCTCCGGCGATTCAGACTACGGTCGAAGCGGAGCTTCTGGCCCAAATGACTTCCCTTCGGAAGGAAATGGCTAAGCTCCAAGAACATAATAACCTCTACTCGTCCAAAGTAGATGAAACTCAGCGGCTGCCTTATCAGAAGGAAACGCAGAATATCCAAGCTAAGGAACCTTCCCAGAGTCTGCAAACTCCCAATCGGCAGAAGAAGGGGAAGAAGGGGGCAAAGGCAATGCCTGCGCCTTCCAAACAGCTGGTAGTCCCGGCTCTACGGGACCAGCCTCACATCCCGAAAAAGGTCTACGTCGACTGTCGCCAACGGATCAACGACAAGGAGGCCGAACGGCAGAGGTCCCCGATCAGGATTAATGCCCACCTGCGGGACTCACGGATGAGGGTCCTTGGAAGCAAATCACCCCTTAGGAAGGTCCAAGGGTTGGAGTCGGAGGTAGAATCTGACAACGAATATGTCCCTCCAGAGGAATCGAATCAAACTACATTTCGGAAACTCCTACGGACTATTCAAAGGCAAGACCACCGAGTCCGCGGAGAACTTTCGAAGACTACAGTTCCGAGGAGGTTCCAAGCCGAGACCTTGCTATTCGTCTGCTCTTCCAGAGAATTCAGAAGATGGAAAACGACCGAACCCGTCCCAGGAACCTGATTGGGGGAAACTTATGCCGGGACTTTTTACCGAGCGCATCAAGAAGTACAGGCAGGACAGGGAGGTACAGCCGTTGCTCATACCGTTCTACACCGACGTGGAGGACCCCTTGACGTACCTTTACTCTTTTCAATAGGTAGTCGGATGCAAGGGCCTCAGCGACAAGGGGCAATGCCTGTTGTTCCCATCCTCCCTTACCGAAGCCGCTTTGAACTAGTTCTACCGTCTTGAACCAGGAACGGTAGACTCGTTTGACGAACTGAAGCAGATTTTTCTCAATCACTTCATGATCCAGACAGACCGTTTGTACTTCGCCGACGACCTGTACACGATTCGGCAGAGAGAAGACGAACCCCTACGGGAATACGCTGCATGCTTTAGTTATGAATACTCGAGGTGTCCCGAAACGGACGATAGGGCAGCCTACGACTCCTTCAAGAATGGCATTCGGTCCTCTCACTTTCGGTATCTCGTGCACAGTAGCAACTGGCGCACATATGATGAACTGATGAAGCAGGCGGCAGTCCACGCCAAGGCTGAATATTTCAACTCCAAGTCGGGGCCTTCGGCAAAGCGGGAGGAATCAACACCAAAGAGCTATCCTGGGCAAGGATCATCATACCCTCCCAGGCAGGCTGACGACTCTTCGGCAGGTCACAACCGAAAGGACGACCGTGATAATCGGCAGGGAAGCTCAAAGAAGGGGCGTGGGAAATACGGTCGCAACGACCACCGAGCGCCACTGCCGAATCACCACCGCGCTCAGGAGGTCTTCACCCTGTTGAATACTACATATGAGGCCGTCTTGATGAACGAATGTGACCAAATCCCGAAGCCAAACAACCGAAAGCCCAATCGGCAAGACAATCGGGATACTGATAAATTCTGCCGATACCACCAGCATAACAGCCATAACACCGAAGACTGCATCAGTCTAAGGAAGATCGTTGAACGCCTGATTTGGGAAGGAAAGCTAGATCAATACATCGCCAGACCACCGTAGGCACCAGCCCCAAACGCAAATTGGCATATCAACATGATCAGCACCATTAGTGGATGCCCCACTCTGGCAAGACCCTCTAACCGATCGGTGAAACAATATGTGTGTGCCCCTCACTACCCTCAAGTCTTCGACATAAAGGCCAATCGGCACCGCAAGATCCCGAAGGTGGGTTGGGAGCCCATCACCTTTTGAGAAGAAGAGGAAGAAGGGATCATTTACCCCCACGATGACCCGATGATCATTCGGGCCGAAATCGCCGATTACGATGTAGGTCGGGTACTGATCGACACTGGAAGTTCTGTAAATGTAATTTTTTCCGATGCCTTCAGAGGGTTAGGAATTACTGATAGCATGGTCAATTGGCAGATAATACATCTACTCAGTTTTTCTGGGGATCTGGTCCAACCAGTCGGTAGTGTCAGTCTGCCCATGGCCTTCGGCGTTGCCCCTCGAAAAACAATGACCTACAATCAATTCCTCATCGTCGACTGCCCAACGGCATACAACGTCATCGTGGGACGGACGGCACTCACTAGAGTCAAAGCACACTTGTTTCCCCACATGTTGCTAATGAAATTCCCAACCAGCAACGGCACTGGCGCTCTCCGATGGGACCAGCTCAGCGCACAAACTTGCTATGCAACGGCCCTCAAATCAGTAGCCCCCAAACCTCTAATGGAAGCAATGTCTGTGAGAGAGGTACCGAACGGTAGTGGGGCTATAGACAACCCGAGGGGTATGAAGTTATGAGGTTATGAGGTTATGCGTACTAAAGTTGACAAGCTTAAAACCATCAGCTTTATCAGGGAGGCTACGTACCCTGTCTGGCTTGCCAACTCAGTTATGGTTCGGAACGCCAAGGGTGGATGGCGAATGTGTCAAGACTATACCGACCTGAACAAGGCCTGTCCGGAGGATAGCTTCCCATTGCCGAGGATTGACCAGCTTGTTGACGCAACCGCTGGACACGAGCTGCTTAGCTTCATGGACGCCTATTCAGGGTACAATCAGATTTTCATGGACCCTGCCGATAACGAGCATACGACATTCATTACCGACCACGGGTTGTACTGTTACAATGTCATGCCTTTCGGCTTGAAAAACACAGGGGCAACGTATCAACGGCTCTTCAATTGGATTTTTGCTTAACATATCGGTAGCATTATGGAGGTGTATGTCGATGGTGAAAAGCGGAACAGTAGGGGGCATCTGGAAAACTTAGCCCTCATGTTCAGTATACTGAAAGACTACCAAATGAGGCTTAATCCAACGAAGTACGTCTTCAGTGTATCATCGGGGAAATTTCTCAAATTCATAATTAGCCAAAGGGGAATCGAAGCCAATCCCGAGAAAATCAAAGCCATCATCGATATGGAAAAGCCGAAGACACAAAAGGATATTCAGAGCCTTACCGGACTTGTCGCCGCCCTAACGCGCTTCATTTCCAAGGCTACCGATAGGTGCAGACCATTCTTCAAAGCCTTGAAAGGGGGCAAATATTATATCAGATGGACTTTCGAGTGCGACCGAGCATTTCAAGACTTGAAGAACTACATGAGCAAGGCACCACTATTATCGAAACCACTCCCCGGAGAAGTTCTCCTCCCCTACCTTTCGGTATCCAGCACTGTTGTTAGCTCGGTATTGATACGGAAGCCAGAGAAGGCAGAGCTATCGATCTTCTATGTCAGCAAGGCGCTTCAGAGCGCAGAGCTTCGGTACCCTCCCTTGGAGCAGCTAACACTAGCCCTCGTGGTCTCAGCTCGACGGCTCCACCCATACTTCCAAGCGCATGAGATCACTATTCTGACTAATCAACCCCTTCAGTAGGTACTGCAAAAGTCAGAAACATCCGGCTGACTGATCAAATGGGCGATCGA